ATTTTCGGAATATGTCTGACATACAAGAAAAGGAGAGCTAGCTTTTGATCATATTTGATTGCTTACTTTCATAAGGAATTTTTGGTGTGGTGGATGCATCTCTTCCTTTCTTTTTTAAAGAATGCATGTGTTCTTTTATTTTTTTGAACTTTAAATTATTAAAGTCAAGTGTAAAATGCAACATAATAAATTTTCCTTTGGGAGACAAGTTTGATAAGCAAATGTAACATTGTTTGGTTAGGGATGGGCGATAAATTGAAGTGTAATGGACAATTCACATTTATAATTTGGGAAATTTGCATATGCACCACACAATTATTTTTGTATTTACATATCTATAACCTAAAGTATGATATTTACATCTATACCATTTTGGTTTTATAAGTCTATGCATGAAAATATCTCTGACTCTTACAATGCCATGCAATGTTTCTCAAAGTTCAAAGATGTTTTTTAGTAAGTGACTAATGATTGTTTATAAAGAGGACACATATGAAAGTTGCATTAAGATGTATGGTTTCCCTCTCATTTTGAGTTGCTAGAAGCCAATCATATTCTAATCAAGGTAACTTACAAATAATGAGGCTCATGTGGCACTTGTTATGGATGGAGAGTATTTTGTTTATTTTGAGTCTGAATCAGTAAGCATCGATCATTTCTTACATATTTGTTATATTTTTAGAGGTAATGAATGTTGTGCTATTAAACTTCTTTTTTTTTTTAGCCTTTTACATCTTCTGAATGTTTTGCTCTCTGTTTGTTTTGCCTTATGATATATTATCTAGCTTTTTATTACACTAAGTGGCCCTAATTGAATAACTAAATTGCATTGTTGACCACCCTTTTGGTCAACCCTTCTTTGGAACTAAAAACCAACTCAAATTCAACTTAGTGCAAATGCTTGCACTTGAACACTGCTTTGAACCGACATGGTCACACATGGTCCGAGCGTAGCCACGCTCAGAAGTTTCTTGGTGTGTTCATGCAAGGTTTGGATGTGGCCACGGTTGTAAGTAACCAAGTGTGGCCGCTCTCGACATTGGTGTGGCAACGCCCCCAAGCCACGCCAATGATCTGTCCACGTTAGCAATCCATGGCTTTCATACTCGGATCCTGCAACAAATAAATGTGTCGGTTCGTCATCGGTTATTTGTGGGAGCTTCAATCATCAGAATAATCTCGACCATTAATCCACCACCTTAATTAAAGATCATTGAGGCCTCTGCCACCACCTCTCTAGCATATAAATAAGCCCTCTCAACACTCCCTTTGACACACTTGGGTGAGGGCTTCGACTGAGCGGCTTCCACTCACAAGGAGAAGAGTTCGAGCCTCCTCCTCTGGCAAACCACTACAGCCAACCTCCTTTCAGGTAAGCCTTCTCCTCTTCTCTTTTATATCATGTTTAGTTCATTTAAGTCAATTCGAGTTAATCAATTAGCCTCGAATTAAGCTTGGGTCTGGGTCTAGCTCAGGTCGACCTGAACCCAGACTAGCCTTAACTCGAACTCAGTCTAACTCTGCCCAAAACTTAACCCGGCCAGACTTCAACCCTAACCCTACCAAGCTGAAACCCCAATCCGAACCTTGACCCAAACTGTAACATGAACATGACCTGACCCTAACTAGCCTAACAAAAACCCAAGCCAAGTACAACCCAGGATAACTTAGGTCCAACACAGGTTAAATTAAGTCAACCCAAGTACAGCCAAGATCCAACCCAGGTCTAACCTAGGTCAACCCATGTCCGATTTTGAGTTGACCTTAGTTGAACCTCAACCCAAGTCTAATTCATGCTAAATTAATGTTATACTTTTCATGTTTAGTTTCATATCTCTTCTTTTATGGGTAGTTTCAAAAACAATAATAACAAAAAGAAATATTAACAAAATTACATAAAATAAAAAAGAGGATATCCTCTCACAATATGATTTTCCTTAAAAATATCTAAGAAAATAGCTAAAAGTTAAGGACCAAACTAACATTAAAAACTTAAGAAAATCTTAATTTTTCACAATGGCTGACAAATTTAAAAATTGAAACAAAACACAAATTAAATATTGAACCTCCAAATAACATCTAAAACATACCAATATAAAGAACGAAAACCAAACCTATGTAGATCTGACACCAGAAATGAGGATAAAAAACCTACCTTATGTTAGTCCAAGTATAGAAGCATAGATCTGTCTAATAGTTGTCCCTAGTTAGTGCTAAGGATTAGGACATATAAAATAAACAACATACTCCCTGAGACTATAGGGAATGCCCTAACATAATGTAACCCAAGATTACTGAAGAAAGCATTTCAAACCGCCTTTAAACCAAAAAACCCTCCACATGCCATGATCTTGGCGCTCAATAAGGATTTTTGATTACGAGGTTGGTTATAGTTGAAAGATATCAACATGCTCGGGACGACAGAAAACCATGAACATCCTGACAGGGGACGTTATTCCCAAAGTTTAGTTTAGTCCACCCACTAGAATTCCTTATAAAGTCTAGGGCTTCGCTTCCATCTAGAAATCCTTCTTACCCGACTTTATCGCTCCGTTCAGGAGCTTCAACAACTTCAGTCAGTCAAACCAAGTATTCCTAAGTTATCCATTTGACTTTAGTTGATCTATTGAAACTCATTACCAGTCTTTTCATACTGTTTAATCATCATCCTTCGGGTAAACTCCTTCCCTGGATGGTTAAATGCCTTTGTCTGGGCCTTTTCATGATACATTGTCATTGAATAGTAAATCCCCTCTTTTTAAGCTTAATTCTCCAATATGGATCCTCACATTCGACACTTAAATTTTGGAAGTCCAACCTTCAATATGAGATGTATAAATCATTATATTAATCAAGAGGTTTTTTAGGGCTCATAGCTTTGGAGATGTAATTAACTATGAGAACTTGCCCTTGTAGCGAACCTGACCACAAAAAAAAAACTTATCTTACCCCTATAAGGTAAGAGAAAGAATCCTGATTCCATAGACTTACAAAGTTCTTCATCATCTAGTTGAGCAGGCCCACTTTAAGATGGTATTTCCTTCCCTCTCGATATTATTTTTCAAATGTCATGCTCGCTCTTTTACATAGAAGTCTTCTGAAAGTTCTATGGTATGGGTTGACACAAAAATCCCCCGCCATGTACTTTAAAGGAGGTATCTATATGCTTTGACTCTTTGAATGTTGGGAAAAATAAAGAGCATGTACTTGTTTGCTAAAATTTAAGTTCATATCTATATGTGCATCTCTATCTGCTTCAAATTGTTGGAGCTGGGATTTCATTTACCTAATACTCTTATTGATGTCAACTTGTAGTAAATTTAACATGATGACTTTGTCATTTGGCATTTCTATTTTAGCAGCTATCATGTGTCCTTTTTTTTTGCAGTGCCATGTTTTGTTGCTCAACCTCCAATGGTGTTTTAGGATGTGGCTGATGCTAGGTGTAAGGATGAAAATAACATTAAAGTTAGATGTTTTGTTGCTTTAGTGCCATGTTTTGTTGCTCAACCTCCAATGGTGTTTCAGGATGTGGCTGATGCTAGGTGTAAGGATGAAAAATAACATTAAAGTTAGATGTTTTGTTGCTTTATCATTTTGAGTTGCTGGCAGAAAGTCATTCTAACAAGGATAATCTATGGTTATGAGGTTAATGTGGAAATTTCTTTAGATGGGAAGTATTTTATTTTTCTCTGAATTAGTTACCATCAACCATATCTCATGATAAATTTTCTTTATACTATTATATGGCTTTATGTTGAGCTAATTTGCCATTGTTGCCCTCTCATTTTTAGTTGCTGGCAACCATTCATATTCAAGCCAAGATAACCTATGGTGCTGAGGATTATGTAGCAGTTTCTTTGGATGATGAGCGTATTGTTTCTTCTCTCTAAATTAATAGGCATTGGCCATAACTTATGATATCATTGCCTCAAACTCTATCATTTGGCTTTTTATTGGTTTGCTCTGATTATCCTCTCATCTTGACTTATCGTCGGGTATTGCTAAAGTTTTGCACTTGTATTTATTTGATAGCTTCCTTCTTGCTTCAATTATTATAATATAAGAACCTTTTCTTGATGTATTAGAAACTTTGCTGACTATATTGGGAAATATTGATGATGATAGCAATGATTAAACCTTTTCTAATGTTTTATATGCCACACAATTGCTCGACTAGATTTTCAATGCCAGTATGAAGCTAAACTATAACAGTAGCAACAACAACGTTGCTCGACTAGATTTTCAATGCCAGTATGAAGCTACACTATAACAGCAGCAACAACAACAACAAAACTTTTATCCCACTAAGTGGGATCGGCTACATGAATTCTTTTTCTCCATTGTCTTATTTAGTGTCTTATTTTCATTTAATTTTAATAAATTAAAATCATTTTTTATACAATAATTCAATCAAAATTATCTCATCTATTGTGAAAAACGTTGATGCTGATTATTCAGAATCAGGTAATATACGCACATTGGTTTCTAATATATACCATTCAAGTAACATTTATATGGATTAAATTAGAATAGAGAACAATTTTACAATCAAATAAAAGCTATAAAAGACATCTCCTTCAAGAAAACCACAACATTCATATGATTACATAAAAGATGGCCAACAAAATTTCAGCTACAAAAGGTCAAACTAGATGGATTTGACATGTTTACAATCCACGTGCTCAAATGCTACAAATCTCGGTTGGTTCATTTCAAAGGTCGGTCGATCTACTTCATCGATCCATACAAAAAAAAAAATTGCAATTGTCTTCTTATCTAATTATGGTACACCAGCAGAATCTTCTTCCATGGCTTTCACATCTATGTTAGATGAATATTTTGCAATGCAAGTTACAGTGGGAATACATTTGATAAACTTGGTTACACATTGAAGCAATTGATTGGCTCAAACTCATTTTAAATAATGATTTGATTGTAACACGAAAAATATTAGTTTGAAGATTTACGCTTATTACCAAAACTTCATATAAAAGTTGCACAAGTAAGAAGGATTGTTCTATGAATGCAAGATAAAATAGAGCATTGAAAAATAAAATTAGTTTGAGAATATGTATCAAACATTCATAACACCTCTTGATTATACATTATAAAACAGAAGATCTTTTCCTCATGAAATTCCACAATGACTACAATGGTTGGTTTGTAGATCTGCAGAACTACAATAACACTTATTGTGAAAATCTTAAAAATCAAACTCTTAACAGCTATGGTTCATGAACTTATTTCTTATGATTCCAAGCTTGTTTTGTTAATCAATTCTTATGGATATTGTACTAATCAAAGGATTAAATTGGGAGCAAAACGGGACTCATCAAAGGATTAAATACTGGAAAAGGATCTCACTTCAATGCCTTAAAATCCTACCACACCCCTTTCAATTTTAAGTTGTCATCCTTAACTGACAGTTTCAAACATTAGGAGATGTAAACAACATTAAGGCTCGGCTAACCTTCTCATTTAAGTTTGAAGATTTCAGCCCAGAATAGTAGTTGCGTGGCTATCTATTATTCAGACCACCTTCTCCAGCCATCCTGGAAGCGCCAAAGAAGCTTTCATCCCAAGTTTGGTGAGGAATACAGCATAAAGAATATGCAGCAATAAAACAAAGAATCCACAGTTGAGAAGAAGCTGTTTTAGAGCACTGACAAATCAGATTTTTATCAATACAAAATTAACAGCAAATTGCTGAGAAAGAAAGAAAAATACGGTACCAGTGTCCCAAATATAGCATATATAGCATCCATTGTTGGTATAATACTCACTCCAATGGCTGCCAGGACATAGGTGAGCGAGGCATGAACATTAATGGTGATCTGTAAGAAAAAAACTAATTAGCAGGAACAAATTCATATTTCAGTTTAGGGACTTCAGGAAGTACCAGATTCAGTATATTCTCTCTTATTAAAAAAGAGGTTAGTAGAACATAACCAACAACTCCAGTCACTCGAACCTGTATATCATGAGATTTGATAAATAATCAGCATTTAATCATCAAAAACAGAAAGTTTAAGATAATGAAGGGTAAGGATAATTACAAGTGTGCATAAAGCTAGCGAGACGCTCCAATTTATTCTCAGCCTGAAAATACCATCAGCACCAGAATTAAGCTCAAGTGACTTGACAGCTAAATGCTACAGAAATGAATGAATTATTGAAGCTTTAAATCAAAGAAAATACTATAAATGATAGAGGAATATAATTTTCAAGGAAATCTCCATAAACTAACCTCCACAATGAACCCATTGCAAGACCAACCAACCCATGCATTAGCTGCACAGAAGAAGGGGAATCTCAACCGGTATGAAAACTGGCTATCAGTGTATGCAAATTTTGAAGTAATATATGGAATGGAAAATAAGTATAAGAAGTTCGATGGAGCCTCGTTTAAGCCTTAACTGTTACTACTACTGTCGACTGATGAACAAGACTTAAAACAAGGAAAGATTATTGTTAATTTGATCTTTGATACTTAAATAAAATGCGGCATAAATTTAGTGCTTGAGCACAAATTTCTAAAAATCAGGGTAGATTTATCCTTTCAACTACCCCATATAAAGAATAATGTATTAACAAACATAAAAAGACTCGTACATGCAAATTACATTCAAACATGAGATTTCCTGGCAGATCACAAGCTCATAATTAAAAATTCAGTAAACACCAGATCGTAGCAATTAGTCAATAATTGAGGAAGTTTATGAACAGAGGCACAGTAGATATTTTACAGCGTAATAGAATTGCTTCAATTAGAATGAGTATCCTAGACCTATAACCAATGTGTTTAGATTTATGCCAATAAGAATTAGGTAGGTACATTTGTGCATGCCAGGATAAGTAAATTTATGCCAATAAGTGGCATAGTGCGTGAAGGTCGGTGAGTGGGTGCGCCCACAAGTCAATGGCTGAAGAGCCACAGCATTGAGGTTGTTGTGGGCTTTGACATGATCGGTTTAAGGTGTGGCCAAGAGTGGTGAAGGCAAAATTAGTCAAACAATGTTTTTTGGAGTAATGTGCTGATCATATGCATCGCATGCCTATTAAGAGCAAGCTCACAACAAAGCAATTGTATTGCACCATGTCACTACATCACATCACAAAATTGCATACTTGGCTCTATCTCAAAAAAAAATAAAAAATCTTGCTTCATATTTCATGGTTCGATTACGATCCATCACAATAACTAGAAACGAATGTTTATTTGACCTTGCTATTTCTCAGTCATTGAGTAGTTGCACATTGGCATGTGTGAATACGTTTATGTTTGCATGTATGCATAAATATGTAAATTGTATACACCCATATTCATGCATGTATATTTATATGCACAAATACATATATGTGCAGTGAAATGCATATTATATAATTTATAGGTTGAATAGTTTTTGCTCTACTTGATAAGCAAATGAGTCAAATGTGGGTTACCAAGGCGGAACACCAAAGATGAGACTGACAAGAATGCAGCCCCGATAAGATGAACCTTAGGTGATGCCATAGTGGGACCGGTTGAGAACACGAAAGCAGACGAGTAAAAATGTGATAGTTACTAAGCTCAAGTGCATGCAAGGGATGCCCATAGTGGAACATAAACATGTGAAAGAGCACCTATGAGGGTTGAAAACAAGCTTAACTTTGGCATTATATTAAAAACAAATGAAATATTATGAGGTTGGGTGTTTTATTAATTTTGATGAGTACAAATACTCATCGTGGATTAGTTTTCTTTTTAACATACTATATAGTAAGTATTGTTGTACTCGTGATTCAAAAGGGATTCATTTTTGGACTATTTATTTGAAGTTATGAAGTGTGCACTCAGTTTGTAAAACTGAAGATGACAATGGAAGTTAAAGGAGCACATGTTTCAAGGTTTACTCGTGTTTCTTTTCAGTTCAAGTATTTAACTTAAATATCTACCCATCATGGCAGATTAGGAACTTGTCTTGAGGCAATTTGAGTTAAACTGATGGAGATCAAATGCAGAAGAATGATTGTTGATCATTAGAATGGCTCACAACCTGAATGTATGATAAAGAAAGAAGAATATGATTGGCAACATGAGAAAGGGGAGAAAAAGAGAAAGGTATACAACCTAGATAGAGCATAAAAGGGGGATTCACATAGCCATGCTCTTAATTCAATGTTCTCTTTAATGATTCATATATAGGACAATAGAACCATTCATATAGCCAAGGGGTCCTTAAAACAGACCCAAAATATTTAAGACTGATAAAAGGTCCGGATTTATTAATTTCCATAACACACTCCCTCAAAATGGAGCTTAGATATTTACTATGGCCAATTTGTTACAAATATAAGTGACTCTAGCTCCTTTAAGGGTCTTTGTGCTGATATCTCCCCGTTATTCTCCAGTCTTCACATAAGCTGTAGAACTTAAATTATGTTGAATCTTTTTGCAACAAAATGACAGCGTATCTTAATGCGCTTAGTTCGTCCTTGAAAGATCGTGTTTGAGGCAATATGAATTACAGCTTGGTTATCACAACATAGCTTTGTTGAAACTGTGATCTTAAAACCCATTTCGGGCAAGAGTTAGGAACCGAAATCAATTCACTCAAAGCTCACGTCATCGCTTGATAATCAAACTCAGCACTAGACCATGACCCTATATTTTGTTTCTTACACTTCCATGAGACCAAATTAGTACCAACAGAGACGCAATAACCAATAATGGATCTTCAATGAATCCTGGAACTTGCCCAATCCGCAACAGAGAAACATTCAATATTTTTATGTCCATGATCTTGTATAAAATACCTTATCTAAAAACTCCCATAAGGTAACATAGTATTTTTTTCTAAAGCTGACCAATGATAGATTGTGGTGGAAAATATAAAATGACTTATAGTGCTAACTGAATACGCAATGTTAGGACGAATTACTGTGAGGTAGTTTAATTTTCCTATTAATTTCCTAGATCGTTTAGGAACATTAAAATGCTCCATACATGGGAAGTTGTTGATTAGGAAGCATCAGAGTACTCTAGATTGACCCTAATTTTTCAATTTCTGCCAACATATCCAACACATATTTTCGTTGAGATAGAAAAATACCCTTCTTGCTCTTTGATACTTCAATCCACAAGAACTACTTCAAGGACCCAAATCTTTTGTGTTGAACTGATTTTGAAAAAATGATTTCAACGATAAGATTCATTGCACATCGCTTCCTATAATAATAATGTAATTACTATAAACCACCAATATGAATGATTTTCGAAGCACATTGCTTATAGAATAAAGTGTAATCACTTCTACTTTTTTGCATCCCAAATCTTCTGTTAAGCTAATTTTTTCAAACCATGCCCGAGGGCTTTGCTTCAATCATATAAGGACTTCCAAAGATGACATACTTTCCTAGACTCTCCCTAAGCAACAAACCCAGGAGGTTGCTCCATGTATACCACTTCTAAAAGCTCACCACACAAGAAAGTATTCTTCACATCTAGCTGATGCAAGGGCTAATTATTCATTGCAACCAAGAACAGAAATAGGCGAAATGGAGTCAACTTAGCTACTAGAGAGAATGTGTCCCAATACTCGATCCATAAGTTCGAACACAGCCCTTAGCAACCAACTGAGATTTAAGACGTATTACAGATCCATTAGAATAAAACTTAACTGCAAAGGCCAACTTACAACCAACTACCTTCTTGCCATAGGGCAGTTTAACAAGTTCCTAAATTTCATTTTCAGTTAAGGCAGTCAATTAATCAAGCATTGTTGTCCGCCACCCAAAATGAGATAGAGCTTGTTGAACAGATCTTAGAACCTAAACAAAGTCAAGAGAAGAAACAAATGAGCAAGACGTGGAAGATAACATATAATAGTTAACACAAGAGGAAATGAGATAGGCGCGTTGACGTTTACCTCTTCGAAGAGCAATGGGTAAATCAAGTTCTAAAAGGAGGATCCACCGAGGAAAATGACGTCAGTAATGGACTAGAAGGTCTTCTTGAGTAAGCATTTGTGATAGGTGGTCTAGGCTGAGGCACCGGAGGTAGAGCTTGAGTAGGATCTGAACTTATGATGTGATACATTAATAACTCATTAGAACCTGGTGAGGATTTAGGATTGATGAGTCACCAAAAAATGGGATTTGTTCATTAAAGGTGATATCAGCATAAATCATGTAATTGTTCAAGAAGGGGAAAAAGAGTTATAAATAAAACTTCATAGGCAGTTTGATTCTGTAGAGCACTCGATAAAAAAAAAATGCAGTAGAGACTGCATCAACCCAGAACTGTTTAGGCACATTCGTTTGAAACAAAAGGGCGCTCTAGCAGTCTCAAGATTTCTTTTTTTTTTCTTTCAACTACTACATTTTGTGATGTATTATCGACACAGAATAATAGTGAAACATCTCGTTGTGTCATGTATGTCTGAAAGTTTATAGAAAAATAATCTCTGGTATTCACTTCCCAGAATCTTAACCTAAACATTGAATTAAGTTTTAATTTCAGCATAAATAAATAAAAAATGTAATAGTAACTCAGTATGAGATTTCATAAAATAGAGTCAAATCATCCAAAAAAGTGACAATATATCAAAATCCATTAGATAAAATCGGCTTCCTTGATGCTCTAATCTCGTCAACGTAGACAGGCGGACGAAGCAGAAGCAGACGAAGCCTTTTACCAAACCTTTGAACAAAGCAAACGAAGAACTGGATGCACTTGTTGACATTGTTCGAAGCAAACAAAGCCTTCGAATGGAACTGAAGAACCGAACGATGACTATAGTACATACGAAGCAATGTAACACCGCGAAAACAAGGTTATGGCGTCGTTCGAAACCTTGCAGACTTCGTTCGAAGTAGAAGAAGCCTTCAAATGAAACAAAAGAATTTAACGTTGATGTTGAGCGATGTAGATGATGAAGCTGAAGATGCTTAGGGATGCTGACAACGAAGCTAAAAATGTCGTTTGTTTTGAAGTAGACGGCATTTGTGTCGCCTGTGTCGATCAAACGAAGAAACCGCAGAGACAACTATCTGACGATGCTCATATACCATATGATAAAAGAGTTTTCTAATATTCAAGAATTAGATTTATTACTTTCAAAACAAAGACTAATATACTAAAGCATAATATTTTCTTATTGTATGAGCATTAGCATAATCATGCTTAAAATTATTTTGACATGCAATAACTGAAAATGCATGAAGCTAGAGATGATTAAGCCAGAGAAAAACAAATAACTCATAATCCTACATTAATTCACCTGAGCCGAAAAAAATTCTTCTCTAAAGAG